CTCGTCCATCCGCAGAAGAGGTGACAGACACAGGATCGAATGAACCTGCCCAGAGTCACGCAGCTGAGACTGAAGCTGGACTCTGGTCCCGCTGCCCCTTGGCTGGACTCACCCTCCTGACCCTGCAGGAGCCGTTGGCCACACACCTTTGCAGCATCTATTGAAATATCCCTCTTCCTCCCCCACACCGCGACTTACTAGAATGGTAGATTATACAGCCTCTAATACCGAAGCACCCCTGCATCTCAGAGAAGGATTTAGTCATGGTGTAGAATCATTTTATATTGTTGTTTTTTAATCCTCACCCAAGGATATTTTTCTGTTTGTTTTCAGATAGAGTGGGAGGGAGAGAGGGAGAGAGAGAGAAACATTGATGTGAGAAAGATACACCAACTGGTTGCTTCCCACACACCCTGACCAGGACTGGGGACAAACCGAAACCGAGGTATGTGCCTTGACGGGAATTGAACCCACTACTCACTGGTCTGCGGGCCCACGCTCTAACCACTGAGCAAACTGAAATTGCAAGCCGCCTGACCTCCCCCTTACCTCCTCCACCCGCCCCAGCCTCAGCGTGGCCTCCCCTCCACACTGGAAGGAGCTGAAAGAGGCTTTGTGGTATTGAGGACATTTCTAAAACACAACTTTTATTGTTTTCTGAAGACCTGCCCGGGATAGGAAGGGCAGCATCCCCAAGCGAGGAGATGCCTTGACGCAGTTCTGAGCTCATCAGGTTTACTCGTTTTCTTTCCAGGAGCCGTTTGGGGTCCACAGAGGAGGGACGCTCGTGGTTTGCATGTTACCGAGTTCAGGGATACACTTGCAGTGTTACCATGTGGACATTCTCAAACCCCAGGAGCTGGGGTGAGCAGGGCCCTGGGCACGGCACACAGTCCAGACGGATGCTGACAAACATCTCAGAGGAGAGGGAATCAGAGAGCCGTGGTAACGGGACCACAGGCCCTAATGGCGTCACCTGTGCCAGTCCGTGTCGCCAAGCAGAATGGACACCTACCCCAGCTGCAGCTTCAGCCTCTGCCAGGACCTTAACAGTCAACCTGGAATTTCCTGGTCGGCACCAGCAAGGTCATCCCCAAAGACCCCTTCCGTCCCCCAAGGGCCGGTGGCCGAGCCTGAACTATCCATTCTCCATGGAAATGTCCCTGTCCCCACTTCCACCTGTAAAAACCTCCCTTTTCAGCAGCTCGGAGGAGCTCTCTCTACTTGCTAGCTGGGATGCTGCCTAATTCACGAATCGTTGCGTGAAGCCAGTTTTGTCTTTAACTTTCCTGTTGACTGTTTGTTGTTAACAGTGGGTTGGAAGGCACAGGGTGTGCTGTTGCAGGGCCACAACCTGGAGAGCTGGGTGCAAGTCCAGCCCTGATGGGGCTGGGGAGGCGCTGAAACCAGTCGTTACCGGAAGGCGAGGGAAAGGGCTAGAGAGAGAAGAGCGAGAGCCACAGAGGGGCTGTGTGCAGGGCCTGGGAGTCCCCAAAGAAGGCATTACAACAAGGAAGAGAAAATATTTGAAAAACAATAGAGAAATTGTCCAGAACTGAAGAAAAATGAAGAAACTCAGACTGAAAGGGCTCCCAGACTCAAATAAGAGAGATACAGAGAAATCCACACTATTAGAAAGTTCTAGAAACATCCTGAGAGAGAGAACATGGCCCAAGAATCCGATGGATGGACGTGGAACACGACAGAATACAAGGAGACCACAAAGTCACATTTTTTAAGTATCAAAGGCAACAACTTTGCACCTAGAATTTTACGTCCAGCCAACTTGAAGGTATAATAAAATATCCCGGGAGTGCCAGGCTTGGGGATGTTTCTCACCCCCAAGTCCCACGTGAAGGATACTTTGTATTTCATAAGTAACCCAGATGCAGAGCGTCTCCAAGAGGTATGGAACATAAGGCTCGCCAAGCATCTTGGAGTGTGAATGAATTGTCTGTCACAAAAACAAGGACCAAAGGAAAGAAAAAAGGCGTATCCGCAATCACGCAGAGCTATGCTTCTAGGCAATCTCTACAGCTAAAGTCCCGACTTTAGAGGAGACATCACTACAGGGCTAACAAAGAGGTGAGGGGCCCTGGCCACAGAACAGGAATAATGAGGGTAAGCCAGTAGAAGAAAATCCAGCATGTCCAGTGAGAAAGACATAGGGAAGGTTACACAGGGGATGGGAATTTCTACTGAGATGGCAAAAGTCATTCTTGATACCACAGTGATTACGATAAATGCCAGGAAATTCAATTCCAATGAAAAGGTACAAATAGATTAGATTTAAACATTTCAACAACGGTCCACTGTTGTGGCTCAGTGGTTGAGCATCGACCCCTACCCCAAGAGTTTGCTGGTTTGATTCCTGGTCAGGGCACATGCCCAGGTTGTGGGCCTGATCCCCAGTGGGGGGCGTGCAGGAGGTGGCCAATCGATATTCTCTCTCATCGATGTTTCTGTCTCTCTCTCCCTCTCTCTTCCTCTCTCTCTAAAAATCAATAATAATAAATAAAAAATTTAATAATGGCCCTGGCCAATTTGGTTTAGTGGTTAAAACACCAGCCCACAGACTGAAAGGTCTTGGGTTCGATTCTGGTCAAGAGCATGTACCTGGGTTGCAGGTTTAGTCCTAGCCCCAGCTGGGTTCATGTGGGAGGCAAACAATTTCCGTGTTTCCCTCATATCGATGTTTCTCTCTCTCTCCCTCTCCCTCCCTTCCACTCTCTCTGAATCAATGGAAAAATATCCTCAGGTGAGGATTAACCAAAAAAAAAAAAAATTTTTTTTTTCAACAATGGATTGCCTAAAAGAGATACACTTATAAAAAAATTATGAAGTTTAGAAAAAAAAAGTTGGCAAAAGACATGCCAGACAAATAATGAACCAGAGAAACCTGGATGGACACCTTACTACATGACATTCAAATTTAAGGCAAAAAAAAAAGAAAATCGACAGCGAAGAAGGCCACCGCTAGCATGCGGATGAAAGGGACCATACCCATCAGTCATTCTGACACCTAAGAACACACCTCAGTGAGCAGTCCCAGGTCTCATCTGCTAGAATCGCAGGGAGAAGTAGATTGTTCAACACTCGTACTTGGGGACTTTAATTTAAAAATAACAATTGAATAGCTCAAGCAGACAAAAATTAGCAGGATCTCCAGATTCTGAACTATTAAATATACACAGGCCTCTCTATCCTTCAAACAGGGAGGTAGGATATTTACAGAAACAGACCAGGTGTTAGGTCCCAGGGGAGCCTCAGTAAATTCCTGGGGAGAAATCTCATGCAGACTGAGCTCCTGTAAAGCCCCTTTGCCCCATGTCTGAGAGACCACCCTCAGCGGACCTGGTCAGTGGCTGCCCCTGCCTTGCCTGATTCTGGAAGGTGGGAGAGGGAGGCCAGGGGCATGTTGGCTGCACCCCCCACCGAGACCTCAGCTCCCACCTGGGGCCAAGTCTTCTCCTCGCACCTGCGGCTCCCTCCCTCCTACCCACATCTTGGTAAATAGTCCTCCTTATCACACACCTCCTCCAGTGACCCAGCTCCAGTGTGCCATCTGCTTTCTGCAAGGATCCTGACTGAGCACAGACTTTGCTTTCGACCAATAATGCAGTTACATTGGAGATTGGTAACAAGAGTATAATGAAAGAAAATCTGTTGAAAGGTACATAACATTGTTAGACAACGCATGGATTTAAAAGGAGGTGATCAGGAACATTAAGGAACGTTTAGATCGGAATGTAATGAAACCACTGTACGTTGGAATTTGTGTGACTGGGGGCTAAGGCCTTGGTGCATGTTGGGGCCCTTGTTCCTTTCAAGGCACGTGCCACACATGCTGCAAACTGAGGCCACCGCCTCCTGCCCTGCAGGGTTAGATGGTGAAACAGCAAAGCCCTCAGGGCAGCATGGGGCACCCGCGGGGCCGGGGAGGCTTAGCTAGGATGCTGAGGACGCTGACCACTAGGGCTGGGCTGGGAAAGAGGTGGCCCATTTTCAAGGGGGCATGACGTCACCACACCCACCGCAGTTCCGGTGGGTGAGCTGGCCCAAGGCTTTGTCAGAGTTGCGTTCGCGGGGCGGCGGGTGGAGGTTGATGGCGCAGGCGGGAACGTCAGTCAGTCCCTGGTGGCCGGAGAGCGGCTGGCGCTAGACGAAGGCTGGGTTTGCGTTTGGACCCTGAACAGTGTGTGACTTGGTGGTCCTGGGAAGTTAGGCTGGAGAGACGGTGTGAGGACAGCCCGGGGCTGAAGATCAGGAGAAGGAGGGTGGGCGGAGGGCGGAGGGCGAGGGTCTCCCCCACGCCTGCGGGGAAGGCGCGGCTCCCAGGCGGGCGGCGGGCGGGTTGCATCACCCTACCAGGAGGGCTGTCCGAGATGCTCTGCTCCCCGCTCAGTGCTCTGGCCGAACTCACCTGTTACACCCGAGTCGGTGTCCCCATCCCGCCCCTACTGCCGCTCTCTGGTGTTCGGAGCCCACCTGAGCTTTGTCCCCTGCACCACGCGTTTTGTGTTGTTGGCCTCACGGAAGGGGGCAGGTGGAGAGAGATTTCGTGTTTTCATGTGAAAACGGTCCCAGTCGGGAGCGCCCGGCCGGGAGTCCGTGGGCAAGTTCGGGTGGATACGGGGCCTCGGGGTTGGATGCCGCCGGGTCCCTGTTCCCTGCAAGGTCGCTCGGGCGCGCGGGGGCTGCGCCAGGAAAGGGGGTGCTGCGTCCAAGCCTGGTGTCGGTCCCCCACCTCGCCACCCATCGGGCCGCGCTATCAGCGGTGATGTCACGGCCCGGACCCAGCCCCCTTCGGCTCCATCCAGCCCCATCCCTGCGGCGGCCGCGACGCCCGTCCTTTCCCTGCGCGACAAACCAGCTGGCGGCTGCGATCCGGCGCTGCGCGCAGCCAACCAGCGGCGGGAGGGGCGCGGGGCGGGGCGGGGCGGGCGGGGGGCGCGAGCCCGTCACGCGGTGCCGCCGTCACAGGCTCGGCGCAGCCCAGGAGCAGCAGCAGCAATTCGGCGCTCGGGTACCCGCGCCCCTGCCCGCGCCCATGCGGGGCCGACGCCAGTGACGCCGGAGAGGTAAGGCCGCCGCCCGCCGGGCTCCTGGCCGCGCCATCATCCCGCACCTGCACCCCGCATTCTGTAACGACACCCACTGCGCCCGGGGCCGAGAGGGGGGAGCTCGCACCGGGCGCCAGCGTCCTAGTCGCGGCCCGAACCTCTGGCGCCGCGCAGCCCCTTCCCTTCCCCCGTCCCTCCCCCGTTCCCGCAGAGAACAATGGAGCAAATTCAGGGGTGTCCGCCCTTCATTCTCAGCCTAGCTGGGCCCTCTGGAGAGGCCCGTTCGCTGCAGCCCCTGCTGCGGGCGACTGTCGGCTGGGATGGGCGGTGGTCGCCATGGGAAGAGGGAGCGCAGCCGGAGGCATCTCGAGACCCCCCCCCCCCTTTCCTTGTCCTGGAGAGGAGCCGCCGAGCGGGGATGCGGCGCGGGCTTCGCCTGGACCGGCGGGGGCGGGGAGGGATGGAGCGGAGGAGAGAAGACTCGGGGGGGCTCCGGGGAGGGGCGCGCCTGCAGAGGCTGGACCCGGGGGAAGGGCGCTCAGGGCACCGGCGAGGGTAGCTGCCCGGTCCCCAGGGTGGGGGAGGGCTGATGCTGGAGCCAAGAGCCAAACAGGCGGGCGGGCGGGGCGCGCGGGGGCAGGAGCGGGAAGGCTGGGCCTCCGGCATCGTGAGCACCTCGGAGCTGCCCATCATCCCTACCCTAGCCGTGTCTTCTCCCAAGAGACCCCAGCTCCCTTCCAGAAAGACCATCGGCTTGGGAAGGGCGGCCATCAGACAAGGCCTGCCTCTACGCAGCCAGCGCCCCAGTAACAGGTGTGGCCGGGCGCCGGAGGGGAGGGGGCTGCGGCGCTCCCCAGGAGCTGGGCTCGGGTGTCAGGGAGGAACACTGCAGGGTGGACCCTCGCCCTCCCCCTCTAAGCTGCCCCTCACTCTAGTTCTCTCCCAAGCCCAGGCGTAGCCCTTGAACCGAGGCCGGGGCAGGGGCAGCATCCCGGCGGGGTGGGGGCCGCGGTCCGCTGGGCGCTGGGTGGGCGGCGGGGGGCGGGGGTACCGCGGGCCGAAGGGACAGAGGGGGGAGGGGAAAGAGGGAATGCCAAGTCATGGGGCCTGCAGGGCTCGGGCGCAACGTCACCCCGGCGCGGACTCGCTGCGCGCCCATGTTCCCTGGAATAGGGACATTTCCCCAGAGCCCCAAGCGGCTGCCCCTCCAGGGGATGCCCGCGCCGTGGGGTTCAAGGCTTGTTAGGGTTAGCAGGTTGGATCTTCCGGCTTCGGAGAGGAGAGGAGGTGCGATGGCCCTGTCCTAACCCTGGGGACTTGGGCACCGAGCACCGGGCACTGAGAAGTCACACCCGCCCGCCCTGTCTGCCCCGCTCTCAGCTGGTTAAGGGCTGGCCAGGGCCAGCCTGCCCGCACCTCTCCGCCTGAGAAGGCAGCTGCGGGTTTGAGGGAGACTATAGGGTCCAGCGTGGGGGGTTGGGGCTGTACCTGCGGCGGCCATTTTGCAGGTGTGGCTGTGGGGTGGGGGTAGTCAGGCTTGGAGCAGGTGTGGGCCTGCAGTGGGGTGCAGTGTCTGCAGTGTGGGGTGAGCGTCTGAAGATGGACCGCATGTCGTTGGTGGTGTGTGGTCCGCAGGGCAGTGAGGCTGGGATCAGGTGTGGAGTCAGCCCCCAGACCCCAAGTCTTCCAGGGAGGGCCCCGGTAGGGACAGGCGTGCCTGCTGCCTGCTGTGTGCCCCCACCCAGCGCCCCAAGGCTGCCCGGGCGGGGCTTCCTGCTTCAGCAGCCAGGTGGAGACAGGTTCTGCCCAAAGCCCAGAGCTGGGGCTACGGAAGCTGGCTTCATACCCACACCCCCAGCCTTGCCCGTCTGTCCTGCCTGGTGCCACCACTGCTCAAGGTGGTGTCGTTTGGGAGCAGAGCAGGGAAGTTCTCCCACAGGCTCTGTGGGGTGAGATGGGGTTGTAGGAGGGACTTGGGGCAGTAGAGATAGGAGCCTGGGCAGTGTGGGGGGAACCTTCCTGGGCCACTTAGCTCCCATAGGTCAGCCAAGCAAGGGGAGCTGGGTGTGTCAGGGTGGGGGACGTTTTGATGGGGTCCTGGTACCATGGCATGGGGAACGGGGGGGCTGTGGAGAAGCTCCCGGAACTGGAACCAGGCCCTGGCCCTGGCCCGTAGGATTGACCGCCCAGATCACATGCCCTGATGACCCTGTTCTCCTGACAGCCAGGAGGGCTTGAGGTGGACAGTGGCTGGTCAGGGGTCACTCAGCAGCCAGTGACTCATGGTTGTCCTCCTGCCCAGCCCACTTAGTGGTCTTAGGCCCAGGACAGGGCTTACCACCCTGGCGGCCACAGGAACCCAGCGTGTCACCTCCACTGTCTCCCTCGCCCGTTCATGCCCAGGAGCATCTGGGAACTCTGTTGGGGCTGGACCATACCCTGCCTCAAACCTGTTGGCTTTGGGGTGTCCTAGGGCACAGCCAGGCTGGTGGGCCAGTGTAGTCCTTGGTTCTATCTCTGTTCTCTTAGCAGACTGCCTCTGCACCCTCTCCCTGAACCCCCACAGGCATGCCCAAGGCTGGGTCAGGGTCCCTGCGGGGCCTCTGCCCCACCTGAACTAACAGGTTTGCTGTTTGACTCCTGACAATGACCAGGTGGTGTTTAACTCCTGATCCTGGCTGCCGGCTGAGGGTCGCTGGCTGACCCCAGGCACCCCCATAGCCCCCAAGCCCTGTGCCATCAGGGCCCAATGATGGAGTCATTGAACGGGATCATTGAAGGGGTGAAGGGCACAGTCAAGGTCAGCTGTCAGCTGAGGCTGAGCCTCCTGACCCCTCCCTGTCCCTTGCCACCCCTCATGAGGGCCTCAGTCCCCCCCACACACACCACTCACACCTACTTTATCCTTAGCTTCCCCTGCTTGGCCTACGAAGCTGAAGCTGAACCCCTTTTGGCCTGAGTGCCACCCCTGATCTGGACACTGCTGAGTGGCTGGGCTCCCCCCTTTCTAAAGCCTCCTTACCCTGGATTTAATCCCCTAATCCCCAGATCTGTGAGGTAGGAAAGTGCCCCCCTCCTCCCCTGCTCAGATTGTAGCCCCTGGGGGGGGGGTCAGAGGGCAAGCCGGACCCTCCTGTCCAGGTTCCCTGTTCTTACTCCTTTCCCTTGTCTGAGCAGCTACCCTCCCCCACACACTTGCACACTCACCTCACCACACACACTCACATTCACCCCACACAGGCTCACACACTCATTCACCCCTGCATAGGCTCACGCACACACTCACATTCACCCCTGCACCGGCTCACACACTCATTCACACACACACACTCACATTCACCTCCACACAGGCTCACACACACACACACATGCACAAACACTCAGAGTCTGCAACTGGCTATGTCCATATGAGGGTCTTTGATCCCCTCAAAGGCTGCCACCACCGTGAAGCCCTCTGTGAGCACCCCCAGGTGTCACCCCATCCCCCCTGAGGAAGAACGTGGATATTTGTTGGGTGCAGACTGCAGTGTACACATCATGTGAGTCCCTCATCTGATGCCCCCAAGGCCCCCTGAGGCAGGTGGTGTCCCATCTTACAGACTTGGAGACTGGGGCCCCTGAGAGGGGTGTGCCTTGTCAGGGGGGACCTGGGACTCTCCATGGCTTCCTCCCCTGCCCCTCTGCCCACCCGAACGGGCCGGCACAGGCTCCCCACAGCAGGCACTCGGTAAGTGCTGTCTCCGTGAGCCGGCAGCTTTAACCCAAGTGGTCCATTTCCTGAGAGTCTGGGTGCGCAGCTGGCGGTCTGAGGTTCCGAGGCGGCTGCCTCCCTTCCTCTGGGTCTCCTGAGATGCAGCTCTGGGTTTCAGGCGGAACGGCCCCACCCCTCCTGCAGGCCCCGCTCCCCGAAGACCCCCCTTCCCTTGAGCCTAGCCTCTGCCGGCCCAGGAGTGCCCTAGAGGGGTGTCAGGTGTCCTGGGTGCCACCCTGGCTCTGTTCCCTTCTCCGTCTGTCATCGGCTCAGGCCAGGGTGGCAAGGGGCAGGGCTGAACTATGAGTGCCCAAGGCATGGGGCAGCCGGCCCAGGCTCCTGCCGGGCTGTCAGGGGCCAAGGCAAGGGTGTCACTCATCCGCTGAGTTTCACTCTCCACCTGCTTCTGGGGCCAGGGCCACACCATGGTGGGGTCCTGGGTGCCGAGCAGGTGGCCGCTGCAGGGCGCAGGCCAGCCGACCAGAGGAGAAATCTTAGGGCTGCACCCATCCCCTTTGCTTTGGCTTCACACTCAGGCAGGCAGGGCGTCCTTGGTGCTTTCTCTCCCTCCATCAGAGCTGTCCCTTTCTTCCACCTTTCCTGGCTCTCAGACGCTCTGCTCCCGGCATCCCACCCCTGGGAGCCGCCTCCATCCCGGGGCTGGAGTCTGCGTCCCAGCCCGAGAGCTGCTCCTGGCTTGGTTTCTGTCGTGTTGGCTGGAGCACGGCCTCGTGTGACTTCTGAGATGGGTGATGAGTCCTCAGTGTCTCTGCTCGTCCTACGCGGGCGGATGGTTCGCAGGCCGGCGCGTGTTTCTGGTCAATCATTTCTGAGCGCGGAAGGCATCCTCTCGCTGGGAATCCCGTTGCTTCCGAGGGTGTTCGCCGGGAACTGCGTTTCCTCTCTGGGACCGGGTGGGGTCCCTTCTGTGGGCGGGCTCCTGCCCTCACCGAGGAGGCCTTCGCGGGGTTTGCGGGTGCGCCCGGCCCTTTGCGCGGAGGACGGCGCTCTTCCTCCTCTTCCCCGAGTTCCTGCGTCTTCCGTGTCCTGTCCCCTCATGTTGTCTCCTTGTTTCTGTTCAAGTTCTGGGCGATTTCCGACGTGCACTTTCCAGTTCTTTCTTGGGCTTTGGTGTTCAGCGTTGGCGTCCGTCCTGTCCTGGGCCGCCCCTGCCCGGCGCCCTCCTCTTGCCCCGAAAGTGCGGCGTCTCCTCCGGACACCCCGGGCCCTTGAACAGGGTCGGGCTGGGTCGCTCGGGTCCCTCGGC